GAAAGTCTACAGTATCAAGCGGCGTTAACTGTCTCAGGAGCTATGAAAGGTACATCGAAAGAGAAGTTATATGAAATATTAGGATGGATTAATGTAAAGAATCACTTTAAAATATTGCGATTGTTGACTTTCGCAAAAATCATAAAAAGTTTAGCACCTATCTGCTTAACTCCCCATCTACAAATTCGCCAACCGAATGGAAGCTACGATTTACGCAGTAGTCAACGATCCCTTTTTATAGCGGTAAATAGTACAGATAAACACTTTTTTACTGTTGTTCCGCGAGAATGGAATGACTTTACATTGAATGACACGAATTTATCAACTATGAAAATATCTAAATTACGCGATACTTTAAAAAGTCAGTATATGTTGTCAACGGGTGTTTTTTCTAAAAAGTTAAAGTTCTCTACGTGACGGGAGGAAGTGATCTTCATGAGGATAAAACCAAATTTTTCACCGCTAAATTACTATCTCCACCAGCGTAGTTATACAGTTTCACCTAAATGTAATTGCGGAAATCATAGGGAGGATATCCAGCATTATTTTTTGCACTGTTCCCTATATAATACTCAACGACAAGATCTTTCACAAAAACTTTCTTTTATGCCTACATTCTCAGTTGACACCTTGTTACTGAATGACTTAAACTTTGATCATGGTACTTTAACATGTTTATTGGATACGGTCCTCTTGTATATTCAACAAACGAACGGATAACTGCAGACATAGTAATTTTCAATATCCAATTTTTATGATATTCATCCTTTCTCTGTCGTCTGACCTGTCTTCTTAGTTTTTTTATATTGCTACTCTTTTATTAATCTTATCCATAATTCTAATAATTCTAATTTTGTTAATCTAATCCATAACCTTTCTGTGAGCATCTGCGGACAACATCTTTATTATTGTTAGGTCCATAATGGCCTCTGACCCCTTACCTTTTTTATCAGAATCAATAAAGATATACAACAACTGTCCACTGTGGAAAATATGTTTACGTGTATAAATGAAATAAGTAAAGTTTAATATTTATCTCATTATGTGTTGAGTTTTTTTCACTAAAATAAATATTGTTACTATTATTTAAGTCAGAATAATAGATAATATATAAATATGAGTATTATTTAACAGTACTGACATACGAATGAAATCAATATGGTACCCATGCTCATTAAATAAGTAGATTTGAGTTTATATTATACAAAATTCTACCTTACAGCAGTTTTTGCGATATTTATCAATGTATGTCAGTTTTAAAAATAATTGATATTTCTAAAACGAAAGTAAATTAATATTTAAATTTTCTATTATACTTTTGTATAATCAATTTTTTTCATTCAATAATATTTAATTTATTGTTCATATTATTCACGTGTATATTCTTTCCTAACATAGTCCAACCATTTTAAATTATGCATTCTTGGAGGAGATCAATTAACACTTCAATGCATTCTAACGTGGATGTATGATATGCAAGATTATTCTTTTTATCATTCTTCAAAGTAAGCTAATTTCTTAAAAACTACAATATTGTACAATAACGACTTATGACTATCTTTACTAATATCTCCGGTAGAAAATGATAAAATTGGTGATAACATTTTTTGTTCTCGATAGAAATAATGTTTTACAAAGTTCATCTCTTTTATTAGGTTAAATGTGCTTTATATTGACCGTCTTGGTACTCTTTATTCCCTATTGAATTGATCTAAATAGTCTCTTCAGCTTTGAGTTAAGAATTAACATTGCCATCACAGTTGCATTACTCTTTCTTTTTTCCACTTTTACAATTTAAGAATTTGCTTAAATAATTCGTTTTAACCTCTTATTTTGTAAATTTACAATTGTAATTCTTCAAGAGCATATCATCTAAAATTGGTGTCAGGTGTGAAATGATTAGATACAGATTGTTCTCATTGAAGATGGTCACCATTTGCTTTCTTACGTTAGCAAGAAAATAACTAACGAAACGAATTCTTAAATTTTCAATCTTCATTTATCATCATCTGTTTTGAACTAATCAATGGCTCAAACGTTCGTTAAACCTGTTAAGTCTAACAGTATAAGTCTTGTGTTTTATTCTCGATAAAATATAAAGTTACATTTTAACCAAAAAGATCAATTTTATATCCCAAACATAATGAAAAAAAGAGAATTACACAATACACAGTCACATAATCTAAATACTTAAGAATAATAATAACAAAAAATATCAAAACAAAAAATTGAAAAAAACACAGAAGTAGTTGATTTAAACGATTGCGTTTAGATGTAAAACGACACATATAAAGAGTACAGGTTATCTGTAATTAAAGCAAGGAAAAAAAAAAGCTGATTTCTTTATCTAGTCACCGGTCACCTGAAAATTAGATCATAGTATAGAAAGTAAGATGTAGGAAATATCTATTTTATTCTTCTTCATTTTCTTCTTTAATAATCAATAATGTACCATCATTATTATTAACTAAAGCTGACGATTGTTCCGGTTCATCAAAACGTTCTACTTTTAAGATTACTTCTTCATTGTCACTAGAATCATCTTCATCGGTTATCTTTTCACTAGATTTCAATGACGATGATGATGATGATGACATGTTGGGAGGCGTTTTTAGTGTAGCAGCTAAAACAGCCGCAGCTTGCATTGCCTGAATAAATTGTTGTTTTTGTTGAACATTACTATTTGGTGTTGTAGATTCTTGTTGTGAATATAAAGGTGATAGCCAGGCTTGTGTTGCCAAGTAATAGGACCAAGCTAATAGAAAACGATAATCAACTTGACCATTTGTGAGGTTAGATGAAGAATTCAAAAATGATAGTGGATTTTCAATAGCTGATGTTGGTAGAGGAGAAGAATTTGCAGTGGTTGATAATGGCACTAAACTAACATTTGATTTTGCATCATCCGCAGATGAGACAGATTTAGATGGAGATTGATCAGTTTTTGATTTTTCTCTATGTGGCAAACGAACACGACGGGTATCAATTAATTTGAATTGATCTATAGAGGAAAAAAAATAATTAAAATGATCTAGATATGAAATGAACTTAAGAGAAATGTTAGATTTCTTACTTTTTTCATCTTCTTTTCTTGCACGATTAACATAATATTGGGTAACATCAGCTTTATTTTGGATAAAATTTCTTGGCATACCAGCGTGCTTATATTTAATATGATATGTAGCCGCATATCTTGTATAAATTTCTTCACCACAATAACCACATCTGTAAGCAGAAAAAATGAAATCATTGTTTTGAATGAAAAACCACATCCTATTTTGATATGATGTGGAAAATAGAGACAGGATAATATACATTCTTATATAGATTGAAACTACTTCTTCCATTAAGTCACCTTTAAAAAGCCTAATCGTATTCTCAAGTATTCTCTTCTGTTTAACATTCATCTTTCAGAAAATAAGTCGTTTAGTCTATTATCAGACACTGTCGGTCATTTCTTTACTTTTTAAATTGCTTTTATTCAAATTGACGCGCTCTAGTTTTGTCCTATAGTATTAGTATCTGAGATTGTTTATTAAATATGAGACAACGAGTTGAACTCATGCGTATGTGTATATAAAACTTTCTATAAAAATGAAAACACGTGCATACACACACATACACAACACACAATATCTCCTTTTCTATTCTTTTCTTTTCTTCTTTGTAAACTGTATAATTTTAAACGTGCTCAAATAGAAAATTGATCGTTATTTCATTTCAGAAAAATTGTATTATTCTTTCTTCTGACGATATGTGATTTCCGCAACAAAAAAAAAAATGGTACCAATGCCGGCAAAGTTCAAAAAATGAAAAGAGCGAAAGATAGACAAAACTCATAACACAAACATATTTTTCAGTTAATTTATTTTGAAATATAGCGGATATTTCTATTTATTTAAACATTTATATATATATATAGAGAGAGAGAGAGATGAAGAAACGAAACTGAGAACGATGAGCATGTATGTCTTTAATCAACAATTGACAAAATGCTTTTGATTTTGAAAAAAAATTAACCGACTATTGACAGTTCATATCACGAATATTTTATTATGAAAAGTAGCAAAAGAATTATAGTCTTTTCCTCAAAAATTTTAGTTGAACAAAGTAGATACTTACCGGATGAGGACTCAAGCGCAATGAACCAATGTGACTCCCTAATTACTTTGCAGTTTCATCAGTTCTACTCCGAAGAAACAAGAATTCTACACTCGATTGCCAGATATTGGTTAGAGTAAAATTTACCTGTATGGTTTCTCATTTGTATGAACATAAACATGATCTTCCATTGATGGTCGATGGTTTGTTGTGTATGAACATAGTTTACATGCATACTGTTTATCTGGCTCATATAAACTACCAAAATACTGTTTTGGTCTATTGAATACTGTTATATATTCATTGTCTAAATGAACAAATAAAGAAAATATGCGAGTATATTAGTAGGCTTTTATTTAAAAGTTAAACAAGTGCGACACACTCCTTCAGTAAACACATACTATTCAAACGAAAAATAGTTTATTTCACCCGATCAGACTGCTAACTATATTTTTAAATGATCATCAAACCAAATAAATTTGAACCTTGTCACATTTTGACTTTGACTTATTCAAAAATCGAAGAGTTAGTATAAAAACTGATAGACACGCTATGATTAGTAACATTTACACACTTCGAACCACTGTGCAAGGTTTGATTTTGAACAAACACACTTAAAATCGTGAACTGGAGAGTTTTAATACAAACTATCCAATTTACCGTATGCTATTGTTAATTAGAGTAGAAAATGCGAGTTGCTCACCACTTTCCCGTTCCTATCAAAACGAATAGAAATTCATTTTATGTATTATTGGTACATAATAAAGATATTTAGGAGAGTTACGTGCTGTTTTCTTTTCAACTGAAGGTCAATGGAGCCTATAGTTAAATAGATGTTAAACCAATCCTACCTTCATTATCAACTTTCGCGTCGTCATATTTTTTCGTACTATGATGAATTGTGTTACACGTTTCAACTTGAATCTTCAGTTTTAATGTTTGCTGTTGTTCTGTTTGATCATCACTTGTTAATAAACCGTCGGTATCATGTCCATTATTATCAAAATCTTCATCAATAAGTGGCTCAACATTTTCTGTTTCATCACTAAAATCATCTGATAATGGTGAACTTGGATCAGCAATATTTTTCAATGATATGGCCACACCATTAATAGGTACTTCATCATAACTATTTGAACGTAATTTTTTCATTTTTGGTTCTTCGACAATAATTGTCGACGATGACGATGACAATGAAAAGTTTTTATTATTTATTTTATTTTTTTTCAATGTAAGAGTCGGCATTGGTGTTGGCGATGTGGAAGATGATTTGTTGTTATTGTCATTATTTAAATCACGATAAAAATCTGTTTCTCGTACACGATTTTCTATGATTTTAACTTCCATATTTGGATGACAAAGTTCAATATGTACCATGATGGTAGATTTTGTCGTTGATTTATGACCACAATAGGCACATGAATATGGTGTCAAGTCGGTATGACGATAAATATGATTTTGCATTAATGATGTTGATGGTGCTTTATAATCACAGTATTTACATTGAAATCTTAATGGACGTTTTGTTGTTGTACGTGCGAGTGTTGTTGATGACAATAGTGATGTATCTTCAATGATAGGACGTTTTGTGGCTTTTGATGTACGATACGTGGTGACACTTGTTTTAGGTGATAGAGAAGCTGAAGATGAGGATGACGTTGATGTAGTGGATGATGGTGGCGAGAGTAACTGCGATAATTGTTGTGAATACAGACTTGTTGATTTTCGCTGTTGTTTGGGTTTCGCCTTTTTTACACTCAAATCTAAGACTTCACCATTGTCTATTGGATCTTTTGTAACCATTTTTAGCTAGAGTTGTAATAAAAAAATATATATAAAAATTACATTGTTTCATACACTTTTAAGATATTTTAAATATTTAACAGATTATTTTTAAAAGAGCAATACAAATTATTATGTTTACAAAGGTAATTGGTAGATAGACTCAACTCATTGAAAAATGAAAATACAACAACTTCAAATTATTTTTTGTTCAATATCAATTTAATGTAACTAATTTTTGATAGTTATACTACTATGATAGGTGAATAAACTATAAATATAACAAAATATAGTGTTAGATTTTGAAAAAATATGGACTAGATGACAGAAAGAGCGTACACACAAGAAATATGTATAATTTTTGTAGATGTGTAATCTGATGGAGTTATAACAAGAGCGGGAGAGAAAGAGAGAGCTATAAAAATTACATTTATGACTGCTGTGGCTCATTCTTTTCTTCTTTTTCTTGTCGAATTTCTTTTTTTTTGTTTACTTAGTTTAGCAAACAAGACGCCTTTTTTGTTTCTTAAAAAACTGTTTTATTTTCTTCTATTATGTGTACTTATGCATATAGAGAGGCTATTACATTCTAGTGCCAAAAACTTGCTAGACATTTTCAGAGAGAGTTGAACATTAATTCTCAAACTTTACAACTAGACAGATCTCCAAGGTCACTTCTAACTGTTTATAACATTATTATCGGACTAGATCCTCATTTTTTTCAGGTACCTTTTTTTGTACTATTTTCTTATTTATATCGAATCATCCTATTCAAATTAAAGAATTCATGATGGTACTAACTTCTCCTTATCAGTACTATTGACGGGACGAGTGACAAACTTAATTTTCGCTTTTATAAAACCCAAAAGAGTCAAGAAAAAGTTCAATGTGATTGCTCAATTAAACATACCGTACTTCAAAGTGATCAATCTGGATAAAATCGAAGAATTTAATTATAAAAGTAGACTGTTTAACAAACTTAATCAATCACCACATATTTATATATCTACTCTTCTCTTTTATACTGTCGTTTCTTCTCTCTTTCTCTCTATTACTCTATGGTCTCTCAATTTGTTAAACTGATTTTATTTTTTTTTTCAAAAATTTCTTATTCGAATGAACTCACTCAATTTCTTTTCTTCTCTTTCTCTCTGTCAATGTTTGTATAACGTGTTTACTAATAAAATGGAACAAGATAAGCAAATATTGAACAATTACTGTAGAGGATAAAGAGAAGTGAAATTTGAAATAAAAAAATAAAAACTAAAGAGTGTTTGAAACGATCTTTGAATATGAGAGATAATAGAACTATTATATACTTTCTCTCTTCTTTTTTTTTCTTCTAAACTATTGATCATAATACAAACTGAGTTATAAATTTAGACTATGAACGTGCTCATTCAGATTTAAAGAGTTGATTAAATATGTTCATAAAACACTGCTATCTGTAATGCGTATACTTCCGTCTGTTTAAGAAAAAGAAGAAGAAAAAAAAGAATCTATTTCATCGGTAGAGAATTATTAGAAGTGGTATACCGACAGTACTAATAATTCTCTACTAATTTCATATACGGATGCATTTTTAATGATAATGAAGAAGTAATCTACATTCAACATGTTAAAGAAAATCATATTCGAATATTTTAAAGTACAAATATATCTAAACATAATAGTTGATTATTGTCAATACAATTTTTCACTTCATTTTCTCAAAATATGAATTTGTTTGCTCATTTAGATGATGATGATAATGATAATGATATCTAATCATAAAGGAAGATATGATAGTAATACAAACAATTGTGTCATGTATGTGCAATATATGAGTAGAGAATGATAAATAAAATATTTCTTATTGAGTGTAAAATGAAGTTCGTACACTTCTTCTAATTTGATTCAATTAATATTTTGCTTAATTAAGTTAATCCACATTATAATTGACTAATATTTTTTATTAGACGAATTTATTTTAGAAATAGTTCCAGGTATGTATATGTATTTATGTTAAACAAAAAACTCAAGTGAGAACAGACTTCATACGAATAATATTGAATTTTTTTATATTATATTAAGTAAACAAATATATAGTTTTTTTGTTTATTGAAGAAAGAATTATAATTACATGACCGCTTACGGCAAGGAATTAGAGCTATTAACAAATGTTTGTTGGCAGGTAAAAAATAAAAATAGAAAGCAAAAGATATATATTCATTTACATTTTTTTTTTCTACTTTCTTTTTCCAAAAAATAAATTATACAATCTTTTGACAATAGAAATAAAATTCTATGTCTTATTAAATAAAATATTTAACAACTTTGATAAATTTCAACACGAACAATATAAACAAATCATAAACTGATAATTATCAATTAGTTAAGAATCTTTATACAATTATACAAGACATATCAATAAAAAGACAGATGACCGTTGCTGCTATATCGTAAAAAACGTCGAATTTAACATGTACTTTTCTTACCTAGGATTTTTATTTTTCTAAAAAAACTTTTCTACTTATATCCCAGTAAGGAAACCAGAAAGATAAATATATGATACTGGTTGTAATTTTTAAACTCTATAGAACCTATCATACCACTTTTGCCTTGTATTTTTCTTTCTTCTTTTCTGTTGCTGGACGACAGAATTTCTACTTCTTTTTTCATAAATCATGATAAGAGAATATTAGAAAATCGGTGAAATTACACCATACCATCAGGTTATGTTTACTTTTAGTCTCTCTGTTTAGCAAATAACGACAAATAAGCTTTGAAAAAGAGGAAAACAGCTCACTTTATATATCTGATTGAGTGAATGAACCAAATAAAAACTGAATGTAATTAATTGTAACTAACCTAGGAGATGTAAAATTTATAATATAGTAGAGCATGGCTAAATAATAGAAGTAGAATATTCGAATTGTGACATTTTTAAGAATGAACCAATTCACGCATCACTACATACTGTGCAACAATAAATAGAGTAACAACACTGCTATCTTTTTCAACCGATTATTAGAGTCAATTCTTTTTCTCGGATATTCAATCAAATCAAACATTTACTAAGTTATAGCAGTATGTCTAATTCTTCGAAATGTTAGAACTAAGACAAAAATATAGTTTGTTATATCTGAACAGCGTCTGTAACTGTTAGTCGTAACGAAACCATAGACACTATATCTTACCTCTTGCTTATTATTGTTTTCCATGCCAGAGCTATAAGAATTATGTGTACATTTTTAATCTTTTTGTTTTGTTTTTTATAAATGAATATATTTTGTAAATGTAACGCATGCGATAAAAAAATTGTTTCCTCTCTATTTTTTGTCTCTTAATCACTTACTTTTTTTATTTTAAGTTTTTATTTTTTATTTTTATTTTATATTCGTTGTTTGATAAAGCTTTATGTAAATTGTGCACATTTTGAGTATATTACAACTTTCCGCTGGAAAAAGCAGATGTAAGTTAGAGAGAATGTTTACTCCACATCGTCATTTAAATATTTTGATGTGCTTGTAATCCCTTTATTTATTCTTCACGATGATCAAATTTCGATTTTGACGATAAAAAAAGAAAGTTAAGGGAAAGAGAGAAGAAGGGGGAAAGACACACACGTCGATTTTTCAAGTTAAATCCATTGTTTGTTTTTGGCGAAAGAGACAGACTTTTTTTAATGTGTAAAAAAAAGAAATCAAAATTTTTTTTCTTCTCTTTTTTTTTTGCTGCTATTTAAGGTATATTGCAAATTGCGCTCTTTGTCTTTTCTCTTCCACTAATTCACTTTCACTCCGCCCTCTTTTTCTCTAACAAATTTGTGTATATAAAATAAAAATCGACTGAAGTATTTGAAAAACGAGCGCATGAGAGAAAAATCGTATAATTGCTTTGTCAGAAAAGTAAAGTTATTTGAGAACTTGTCATCCGTTTCACTGTGTGTGTATATACTTGATAAAAAATTTCGCTCTGTCTCTATGTATGACTTAATACAATAAATAAAACAAAAAAAAAAAAGCGAGATAATTTACAATTTTAAAATAAATTCTGTTTTTTGCATATATATGTGTGTTTACACCAACACACGTTCGATATAAAGAAGAAACCTTAGTAATACCAGAAGATCGATGGATAGAAGGAAAAAAGAGGGCAAGAGCGGGTGTTTATTTATTTGACGTAATAGACAAATCAAGTAATTATTATCAAGACCGTCTACATGTACTTGCAGTTCTATGCTCATGTCGAAAATAAATGGATAAAATTCAATAAACACATTTATTATTTTCTAAAAACTCTTGCACTTGTTCCCGTTCGATTTCTATACTCTTGTATTTTGTGAACTTAACTGGACTGGATAGTACAATAATTTCTGAATTGACACGAAATTTAACTTCAAGGATAAGCCCACTTAGTTATAAAAAGTCTCAAGATTTTTTTTTAGTACGTTTGAATCTAATATAAAAGAAAATATCTTACAATTATTACTGATCTTGTTAGTGGAACTATAGCAAATAAATATTAATTCATAGAACTAGTCTCTAGCTTTAGATGAGCGTTGCTTACTGATAAATTTCTTCAATTAGACTTTGTTTGTTTACGCATTGGTTTGTGAGTTTATCAACTCTTCAGTGGGTAGGAAAAATATCTGAATGATACATAGATCAAAAGAGCGTGTGATCATGTGGGATAAAACATTAGCTAATACATTTTATGAAGATAGAGTATATAGTATTTTAATTTCTCAAAGTAGATACTTACCCAAGTAAAGTTTGCCATGACGGTATTGTTGACAGAATCGCTATTTCGTTTGCTTTCAACGATGCACACAAACACTAATAGTTATATCAAATCCGATTAAAAAAAGGGAGTAAAAGTGGCAACGTTTATTATCATGGTTAAATAAAACAAAATAAAATCGCGTTCTTTTCAAAAAAATGAAATAAAATTTGTATATCAAAAATGAGTACACATTATGCATACACACCCGTTGATATGTGTATATACACAAAGAACTGACATGATGATGAAATCAAACAACTTGTTTTTTTTTTGTGTGTGTCTTTAAAAAAGACAAGACACATAAAGTAAATTCGAAAATGTTAAATCGCCTACCTTCTATACCATAGTTCGCCTAAAAAGGAGAGTAAATTTAAATAGGTTAAGAATGAGACATACACAAAAAGAATAAATACAAATTTATTAGGGACGAACGCAGTTACGTTACGAACGTTGCTTATATGGCCAGAATGAGTTTTCAAAAAGAATGAAATAATTAAAGATAATAATCGAGATATCCGTTTTCTGCTCCGACACCTCGATTATTACCGTGTTCAGACATAATTTCCTCGTTTTTGAGAACTTATTTGGTCATATAATGCAATTGAAGTAATTCTTGGTATCTTTTAAATATCGGTTAATTCGAGTGTTACGCACACTTAATCCTTTGGCTGCGGGTGATAAACACGCATATTTATAAAATGTCTTAATAAATTGTACATACACATTAATTTATGATCAAGTATACAGCAAAATAGAAATTTTAATTTTTTCAAAAAGAGTAGTCAAAGAATTAACAAATATCATATTATAGTTTGTTTTGATATTAATCTTTCTAACAGTTATGGACTGCATTCTCTAGAATAGAGAAATGCTTATGATCTCGTGATCATTAGTTTCTGGTAGATTATGAATATTTCATAGACTTAGTGAAATCAAAATGATCACTGATTAAATGATTGAAAAATTCAATCTAACATCATCGTATCATCCTATAAACAAACAATAGATACTATTATTGGTCAGGTGAAGACCTGAAAATTGTCTGAAATACCAAAAGATTTTGATAGAAACTACGATGAAACCTATGCTGCAACAATGGGTGCATATCGTTCAACTGAATATTTTTTATCTCCGAAATAAATATCTTTCTTTACATTAAAATCTGTTTGCACAATTCTTATTTACGTAAATTTTTTGAAAGTCTATATGCTTAATGGTACTATGCTGTTATCATCACCAAACCCTGTTTACTTATATGTATACCCACGTAAATAAGCATTACCAACCAAAAAAAGAGTCATATATTTGACGCGACGTGCACTACAGTATACATATGTTAAATTTCCACGAGAGGAAGAAAGAAAGGAAAAACGGAAATAAATGTGTTGAAGAGGAATGAAAGACTAAAACATGCACTCTATAACCAGCACTAGATATTTTGTTTGAATAAGACAATATCTAACTTTTTTTTATTTGAAAAAATTTAACATGATGATAATAATGTCCTTTTTTTTATACGTAGCATGAAAAGCATAAAAACAGAATCATGTAAATGATATGTGTACATTGTATGACCATATTAGTATTTCAGTAGTTGATGTTTTATTGGCTATTTCAATATAACTAAGCAATAGTTGATAAATTCTGTCTCATTCAATGTTTTAGATAAACATCTTTCAGGAAATGTGTTCCCAAATCTTTTATCATTTTATAATCTTAAGAAAATACCCATCTATTCATGAGCATTTTGATAATGGGAGTTAATCATTAATCTATGATTTTGAGGATGTTTATTGTTAATTACATACATCACAATAACCTCTAGTTTAGTAATTCTATAATGTGTGGAAAAAGAATAAAAATGCGTTGTTTCATTTTTTAAATAAAAGCTCTAATGCAGATTACTAATGCTAAATGTTTATATAAGCATACATATACAAGCATGAAAAGTAATTGATCACTAGAACATTATAGAGCAGTTTCGATAATGTAGATCTCTTCTCAAATATCTTCAAACTCTGATTCAGTGAAGTATTTAAATGTCAGGAATCATCACTGTTAATTTTCGTAGCCTTACTCGTAATGTTTTTAAGAAACTACTTTTAGTGGAACCGATATAGGCTAAATAATGATAAACTCTCAGTTATCTCAATGAAACATTCTTCTGTTTTCTGAATAATTCTGTTCTCAATGAAAATTTCTTTCTTTTGTTTCATCACCAGACACTGTTTTTAATGAACTATTGTTATTAATTATTGTACCTTTTCCATCAGAAAGAGATGTTGCGTGTATTGGTTTAGCATCGTTTTGCTTTATTACTGTGTCGATAAATGGTTCTGTGACTGAACCGCTCCTCGAGTGTGGCGATACATCACCAGCCACCGAGGAGCGTTTTAACCTTTCTCTTTCCTGACGTTTTTTCATCAAAGTATCTTCTGATAATTGACCTGTAATAACGGCTGATTCTTCGGTTAATTCACTCCAAAATGTTGACGTTGGAAAATCTTTAATAATGTCAAGAATGTTCGTGCTTTGTTTTTGTTGTTTATCTGCAGTACCACTGGATTCTGTTGATATTTGAGATTGAAGATCTGGTGGTGATTTGGCATCATCAACATGGTGGAATTCTTCATTTTCTTCAGCGATCACCGTCGATTCTTCATCGTTTGTCGATGAACCAGTTATTGTACTAAGCAGTCGTTCGATAAAGTTCGGAGTTTTATCTGATTTCTCACTTTTTGATGCTTTTCTCTGCAAATTTTGGTCGCTCACATCTTTAACGGCATCATCAACAACAGTTTTCGAAATATTTGTTGCTAAATCAGAAATATTATTCACTGGTTGCTTGCTTTCAATTGGTTCATCCGCCACTTTTGTGTCCGCTGACTTTTTACGTCCAAAACTGAATAATTGCTTAATTGAATTGCTTGGATCAAAATAATCCAAGAATGTGGAACCTTTTCTGTTTTCATTTGTCGTCGCTTGAGTATCGGTTGACTTTGATAACTCAGAATCCTTCGCCGAAACGGTCATTCTATCCGTTGGCTGTATTTCTGAAATATCAAATTTGTCCTCAAATGATTCATACGAATGTGTGCTCAAATTTGGATTCTTATCGAATGATGCTTCTCCATGCACTTTTGATGGTATATATGGTTGAGTAGTAAATTTATCCTTTGATTTCAGGACGCTGTTCTAAACCAAAACCAAAAATTAAGTCAATGTAATAAGAGAGCCCGTACGGAGGCATAACAGATACAGTCATTCATCAAGATGGATCTTGTGTTTTGTTTACATTCACTAATAGTGCCTCAAACATGTAGCCTCCTCTTTTCCTAATTTTCAGAAGTAAAGGGAAGATGCTAAAGTTATTATGTAGTGACTAGATTATATCTGCTTTATGTCACTGACGCTCTCATGATTATTTTCAGTTAATTTCATTATCAACTTTTTCGTCATTTTTTCTTCAAAAACCAGCCTAAATCTGAGATATACTTTTCTTCTGTAGTTATTTATTATCATTAATACATTCAGAGTTCATCCAAACAAATGCCTGAAGGGTTAGAAACTTTGTTTTCATGACACCGTTGACTTTTTTCACTCGTATGTATTCTGTTAGAGACAAACCGATAAAGTAAATCAAAATTATTCACTAATACTAGTTTTTGTCCAAAAGGGAATTTTCTTTCGAAAGTGGACGAATAATTCTTCACTATCAGAAGATGACATCTTTCTAGTATTTTTCTTTTAAAACCAAAATAAAGTGGAATTAAATGCTAGGAATAACTACATATAGACTAGATATGATGCTCTACACGATGGTGAAAATCCTGAGTCTCTAGCCTATAGGGTTTGCAAATGGCAAACAAAACAATATGATTGTGTAGGGGTGTACGAATAATTTTTCTACCCATTGTATCACCCAAGCGTCAAAAAATAATCTAGCATCGCCCGATTCATCTAGATTACTAGATTTTTACTCGATTGCAACTACTGTGTAACGACAGTGGAAATCTAGTAATTCGACGATTACTAGATTTTATCTAGTTGCAACTATCGATTTATCGCCCGATAATCGATCGATTTAACTATTGCTAGGTGCGCATGCAGACGCATTTAGTTAAATGTCCCTTTTTCAGATAGTAATCCAGATAACAATTAGTCGTGTATCGCTCGATTATAGACGAAATGTGTCTAGATTTTTCCAATAGGTGATGTTTGTTTGGGCATGCAAACGATGAATTTGAGCCTTAATCTTTTTTATGCTTTCTCATGAACGACGTTTTAATGTTGTAGACATCTAGATGCTTTATGTTCACTGGTTATTGCTTGTGGGCTTCTATTGTACAAAGAGTAGAGAGGGCTGTTCGCATTCCCTTACATTCATATAAGGGTATGATGGAAATTTTTTTATTGCAATTTTTAAAACATAACGTAGATGAATCATAAATTGTATTAGACGCAATATCTATTTGACTAGTTGACGTTCATGAAAGGATAAACGCGTTCATAATAAGGATAACGACTGAGCTCGTTTTTGCTATCAGTAGGTATTCGAATTTTTGCCTTTAGATGTCTATTTTTTTTATAATAAAAATGTTTCAAAATTTTACAAACCTTTTCTTTGTCAGATGGTTCGTCCATTGGTTTTATTTCTGATGTATATACTGTTTCTTTTTTGTGTGTGGGTATTACAGTAAAGAATTCAGCCTCATTTTCATCGATTTTAACAATTGTCTCAGCGCAGTCGACTATTTTCGAATTTGAGGTTGACGCGAGGTATGTATGTGCCCAACTAACAGTTTCGTGTGATGAATGTTCCTCATCATCGCTTCTGTTTGACTTCCCAAAAGGCGATTCAAATGAGTCGTTCATCGATAGTTTCTTTGTTACAGAAACGGATTTGTCAGATGTACCATTTTGTTTGGAAAATGACAAAGGATTTTGAACCGTTTGTAATGAAGTTGTCATTATTATTTTTGAGCCTGTTTGACAAGACTAAGGAAAAACAACTGCAACGACTGTCAAACTACTATCCTATACACGTTTGCACGCATCAGTTAATATGATATATCAAGATTGAAGCATTACAAGAAACATTCATATTTTTGACATATTTTTCATGTAGCTAACCGTGCTAATAAACAAAAATATAGAGAAGAAAAAAAGTAAGAAAAAAAATGTAACTTAGCTATGCATGAATATACAGCAAAATATAACATACAAAGATAATACGTCTACACTGTAAACAATAAAGTATGCTGTTGGGTGCGTATCTCAAAAATACGGTCTCTCTTTACCAAAAAAGTATACATTTTCTTAAGTGTGCTCATTCTTTTTTCTGACTATGTATGTGAAAGACAAGGCTACCGAGCGCACTTTAACCATGGTAGACAGTCACTCATGACTATTAAAATAAGTGTACACGTCACACTTATTTTTTACAGTATATGGATAGATAACAAACTGAACTGAACAAATTATCTTTGTGTGTTACGTTCTGCTGCATATTTATGCATAGATGCATACAGCCCGAACAGGTAGTTAATTAATGTAACGCAATATAGACAAAGTCAGTTATTTCGTTAACTTATTTAGTGATCAAGTTTTTATGACAAATATTGCAGTGTCAATAAATCATGTTCTAAATGCAAAATGAGAGAAAAACATGAAATTTAGTTCGAAGGACACCTCGACTTTATTACAAGAATGCATTTTATTCTATCTTCTAATTTATTGCCCTTATAGGAAGAATCATTTTAACATATTTTAGTGAACCACAAACATTCTAAATGTTGCAAAATTGTATAGTCCAAGAGACTGATCTAATGTTAATTCTCTTTTATTCAAAAAATAAACTTAACTGCACAAAATTGATTAAAGAAAGAATAGAACGAAAATGAGCTTTCAAACAAATTTATTTCATTGATGATGGTCAGAATGATAATATGTTTCAGGTAGACCAGTGTGAGATAACCTTGGTTCGAGTTGTAACGATATAGAATATGATTCATCATCACTGAGCAATCTAGAAGTATCTAATAAATATGCACACACCTAAAATCAGTACATAATAATATATATAGATAACCTAGGTAGCTAGAAATAAATACATACTCTTGGATTATGCTTAATTTTGAATGGCATGGATTGAAACCGTCTAACTTCACTAATAATATGTGTTTTCATACGCATCTTAGAAAAGTTGATCATACATTTTTCAGATATATCCGGAGTACTTTCTTCTATGAATGAAAGATCAGATAAATAAAGACCTAAGTAAGGTACGGCTGGGGGATCAATCCTGAAATAGAGTATACAAGGACTTCTCGAAATCGATACAAGAGATTATTTATTTACCTAGATAATGTGTCCCGTAAGTTTTTAAATTTTCCATCTGAATGAACCAGATTTTGTAACTTATTAATCACTTGTTTGTTCTATAATGTAAAATGAAGCACATGAATTGATGTAAATTATCCACTGTATTGATAAGTTTTGTCCCACATACTTGTTTTGATATACGATCCCATGTATTCTTTAATCGAAATACAGCACTATTTACAAATGCTGCAACAATTTGCAAAACGCCATTAAAATTTCTCAAATAACGACAAATATCAGCAATTGTGCCTTTAGAAAAATGAAAATATTGCTGATGAAAGATCTTTTGAAATAGAGAATAGAATACCCCATTTTTCGATGCATTGCACGCGACCATTAATTGTTGATTGCAAGAGAATTTCTGTGATAACGAGTCGGCACATCTAAATTAAGGAACGAGGTTAATCATATGTATGACAGATATAAGTTAGTATATATTATACTCACTTCATTAAATCTCTTGCTAACTAGTGCTACATTAGGAGCCAAATCATCTCGAGCTTTCACCCATCCTTGCAGTAACAATTCCCTGATGAAAATTAGTCGACAGACATTAGTAAGTGTCCAGTTATTCATAAATCAACTTACTCGCTGCCGAGTGAACAAAATAATTTATGATCTATTAGTGTCATTTGTTCAGCTACGTCCGAAACGGCTAAACTGGTGAATGTCGGATATTCGAAATCTAGGCATGGCTAAAATTAAATGGCTTGTATCTATCTAGTAATAGCTGTTAGCACGTGCTGTACTTACCGGTGGATTTAATAACATCTCTAATTCTGCTGCTTTTTTATCAATATCATCGGTTTCCAGCTGTTTAATAATTGAAACAGCAGCTTTGTGTTCAGCCGCTATCAAATGACCATTTAATAACATATCTTGGAGTAATTCTAGAACCATTTCTTTCAATTTAACATTTGTGTGAAAATCCTGAAGAAATAAAATGTAGAAATAGAATCACTGTTAATGGCCGATATTATTTTTTATTGTCGGACCAACGGGTGCTTGGTGAGCCAATGTCTTAGTACATTGAGTACTCTCATGGTTGTGGCTGTATTGACTATTATCCATTCGTTTCCTTTTTGTTCTCGTGCTGCTTGACTTGAAGATGGACCTATAATGAGAAAATGATACAAACAAGTACAGAACAAAAAAAATCGACCACTTACCAGTTGTACTTCCTAAGCGTTCGTGCCTTATCACTTTTGGTGACTCACCGGACGTAGCCACGGCAAATGCGTGTGTTGCTGCTGCTGACGAAATCCGGCGTCTTGACGATCTTGATGAGGTAACAACAACACCTGGTAATACCTTTTTTAATGATCCTTCTGCTGCATTACGTAAACTTTGTCGTGGTGATGATAAAGCTTCACTAAGACGTTTAGCTGCAAAAATTATATGAGAAATATAACAATGTGAACGATTAATAATGATGACGTGGCTTACATAACCATTGAACATTTTGCGTTGCTGATTGCATGGGTTGTGGCGATGTTCGATCGCCATTTGCGGAATCTAATCGAGAACGAATATAATCCGATGATTGTGATACTTGTTCAATTTTTGTCTCTTCGATGAATGTGTCCTGTAAATATGAGATTACTAAGTAGGAAAAAGAATGCGAAATAAACCATTACAAACTTTGGAGATAATTGAAACGTCGCCGGCAAATTCAACTGTTCCAAAACGAATTCGGCATGATGATTCGGATGAATTTGCTGCACGTGTATGTAATGGTGTTGCCCTTTCTCTTCTGTTTGGTAATGGTAAATCAAACATACGTTCCAATGAATCAGGATTGTTTGTCTCATCGTGACTTGTGCTTGTTCCCAACCCAAATACTTCGATTGTAGATGATGAAGGAATACATTTTTTAAATCGATCAATCGCCGCTGCATCATCACCACCACCAAACGATGAAATCGACGTGACATCAGTTAATGTTTCTGATGAGGCTAATGGAGCCAGATATGAATGCGTGTTACCACTTAGTTGTGCCGTGGTAGTAGTAACTATTTTGGTATCGGTTGGTGATGCTGAGAGTTTTAATGCTAATGAAAGAAAATATGACATAGATAGTTTTGTCAGAATTTATAAAAGTTTACCTACTTGGTTCTACAATAGCTGTTGTGATTGTTGTATCGTGCTGTTCAATACTTAGTCCTCGGCGAAATGATCCAATATGACTATGTCTTCGAAGATCTCTTTCTTGTTCAGCATTTGTGTTTGTATTTGACTCTTCAACTAAACGCGTCAACTCGTTCTCTTCTTTGGTTACAGGATTTTGTCTTGAAAATTACATAGAAAAAAACATTAGAAATGAGAAATTTTAAGGAAGAATTGACTGTTACCTTTGTCCATCTGTTTTATCAACATCACCGGTATCGACAGACGTATGTGGTGATGATTTGTAAACTTTGATTAATGTTTCAACAATAGTATAGGCATTAGTATATAATCGATATGTTAACAAAAATGTATTTAGAAAATCAATCGATAAAAATCGTAGATCCGTCAGACGTTCTAACAATTTCTCAACAGTAGCATGTCTAATCTGAAATACATACAACATAATAAATAATATACATGTTTGTAATATATCGTTGATGTACCTGTGGAATTTTGCATGAATCTAACGTTTTACTATATTTAATTTCTTGATTATCTTTGAATAATTTTACATCAGATCTAAAAGATGATCAATGAGGAATGAATGAATGTTTAAAAAATCAAAATCTCTCTTTCTTTCAATCTAGAAATTACTTGACAGATTCTGGCATTACAACTGATGATTCGTTTCTAAATGAACATTGAACTAATTCGGTATAACGTAAATTTTGTAAACACTAAATTCAAACTATGACATTATACTATTTATGTTAAATTTAATTGGAAAAAAAGAATTACTTGTGCTATATCTGTGCACCATTCTTGTTTATGTTTTTCATCATTGGCCAATAGTGTGGTAGAATATGGTGGTTGATCACGTGCCTCAACAATTAATCGAAACATTCGATTTATATCATCACCATTTTCAAATTTATTTATATCCGTTGTGATATTCAAATCTTCCTGATCTAAAAGAATTTTATTTTTTAATTATTTTACGTATAAAATTTTCTAATTTCGTACTTTCTTCTTCGTTAACGGATGCTAAAAAATGTTGTGGATCAGATGTTATATCTTCAACAAGTGTTACATCAGCTAAAGAAATACAGCCACAGCCTTTGGCAAGATGCAATTTGCCACTTGACGCTCGTGTTGTTAATATTAAATGATTTGAAAATAGATAACATTGCACTACGGTTTCACCACGACGCATTTCTCTCGAAAAACGTTGTCCAATACTTTTACTTTTTTCTGTTGTTAGTAATACAAGGCTGTCTTGTCGACATAGAACTTGATTAACATCTAATAATACTTCACATCCTTCTGCAATACTGCGTTCAATAGCCAAATTCGTTCGAATATGTTCTGTCTCACTTATTTCATCATGCATTATCTAGAACATTAAAGAAAACTGATTCTAGTCTCAAAAAAAACACAAATTGAAAATGAAATTAATTTTACGTACTTTTGACAATTCTTCCAATTTTGCTTTTGCATGCTCTAGTTTCTCTCGCTCAACATGTTGAAATGGTGTATGTGAGAGACAATTGGCTAAACTTATTATATAATGGGGTATCTTAAAAAAAAAAAAAAACATAAAAAAAAGTAAACTTTTATTTCTTACGAAATAAAAATTTACCTGATTCATTGGATATACCAGAAGTGTTTCCAAAGTTTGTCCTTCACAGGCTGATTTCATTTCACATCGTTCGAGTAATTTGTTAAATTCAGCATTACGTTGTTTACTTTCAACGAGCACCTTAACATACACAAATAATTGGATTCAATTATAAGTGGTTAACTAGATTAACATTTTCTCTAGCGTACACTTATAAAAGATTTTTTTTAATCAGTTGTTCTTACCTGTAAACTGTAATGATGATTACGAACATACTCGGAATAAATATGAAGCATTGGTAATAAAATATCGAATAAATCACCTCGAAAAAAGAAGAATTATCACATTATAGTGCTGATGGAATAAAACAGAAACATCTATTACTGACATGAAATATATAGTACAATTACTAGCACTTAAGCATAAAACGAACAGTATTTTTTGCTTCTTCACGTACAACTATATGCATATACGACACAGTCTGTCCTTTTTTTAGCATACCCACGTAGAAGGTCGGCCAATTTTCCATTTTTTTTGAAAGGCCTTTATAAAATATTTGGTGTAAAAATAGCACAATTTCACTAAAAACGCAAGCTTGATTACATGTTTTGAATTAAAAATTATAAAAATTCTTATTATTATAGATAGACTAATAAAGACGACTTGTTCTATCATATACCTGTTTAAAAATATTGAATTGACATCTTCATGTGTAATAGGTGGTTTCTTTGAACTTGCAGCCATTCGAAATGGTCGAACAAAATTTGCCACAAGTATTTCAAGTTGATGTACATATTCATGTTCATCTTCAACGAGATTAAACACAATATTATTTCGTTTACGCATCATTTCAGCATGTGGTGAACTGTTATAATTATAATATAAAATAAGTATCATTAATAAAAATTTTAACAGATTTAAACATACCGAATATATTCTTCTACGATACGTTTCCAACGTTGTCGATATAACCAACCACGGCATAAACTTTGAACCTATAGTAAAATAATAAATAATATATTTTCGAAATTAATATGAATGAAAATCAATCATACTTTTTTAATTTTTCGTATTTCTTCACTATCTTCTTCAGCAATACTACGATGTCTTAGTAAATGATGTTGACGACGATATCGAGATAACTATATAAAATAGTATGAGTTATTATATTAGTTAATAGAAAAAAATATCTATAACAGTTTACTTCTTTTCTTAATTCTCTAACTTCGCCGGATAATTCTTCGACTTGTTGCATATATTGATATTTTGATTTTGCCTCTGTTTCATATACTTGCGATAAATGTAAATATTTATTTTCAATTTCTTCTTTCAAACTTACATGTCGATTATAACTGAAATAAGAGTTAAATATTGTGTTTGTATTCTTCTAAGAGAATCATCAACATAACTGACACTATACCTGCAAGTTTGAATTGCATCAATCCATGCTTGACAATCGATATCGGATTCAGCAGCAAACTCAATTGAGTTACGACCATCACGAGTATAAGATATAGAAAAACAATTCTAAAGTGAAAAAAAATTATTATCATTTCTATGCTACTGCAGTCTACGAAGCTAAACGATTTAGAAGTAAAAGGGCCTTTTACTTTTAGATAGAATGTATTTTTGCAGAGATAAGAGAAGAAACAAAGTTTGTCCCGAGCGCTTTTTAAGTGTGACGTATATGAAGTACAATGCTAAATAATTGAATATGCCTTTTAATTTTTTTACTATGTTTACTCCATTTAATCATTTTATAAGGTAAACATTACCACTTAATAAAGACTACAGTAAAGGACTGAAAGACATTAAAAGATTTAAACATATAACAAGAATAAGAAAGTAAAATGAGAAGATAGACCAGATTATATGTCTAGAAAGATGCGAAGTTAAATCCTGGATTTTAGAAATGCGAAACAAATAGTCTATTATACAACCCAAATAGATTTCGGGACAAATGTCGAACGATCTTCCAGTCTTCTGTTTTTAAGAAAAATTAAAACTCTTTCCTGTTAAATACGTATCTCGATAACTGATTATAAGTCCGTACTCAACTTTCATAGAATGCTGACCATTTTAAGGTCGATTTTTTGGGATTCCGTCTATCACGATTTGCGAGATGTCACCACAACAAGGATCAAAATGGAACTGTTAATATGTCCCCAAATCCTGCACCCAGGCAGATGGGAGAGATTTCGAATTGGTGTTAAGCAAACATTAACCGCCACAATGCACAAGAGCTTGATTTTTGAATTTTAGTTTTGGTATTTTTTTGGCAGGCATGCCAAATAAAAACTTCACCAGGAATCCTTCGTTTTTGATTAAAAACTGAAGTGAGATTCAAAAATTAGGTCGTTGTACCTTGTGGTCTCTTTTTAACCACAAAATTCTTTCTATAATCTTCAAATCTAGGTGTTACGAAAAGAAGTTTAATAAATATCCGGGCAAATTCATATTTGAAGATATTGTCTTACGAGATCCATAGAAATCTTTCTTGGAAATCATGAAAAATATGTCTAAGGCAGAAAGATTAGTCTAACATGCACTGTGGGCTTTTTTTCTATAGACCAGGTGGACACGAGGTTTTTTTAATTCAGAAAGAGACTATTTTTGCTCAATACTAGTTTATTACGTTTGAAATATTATTATAAATTAAAACAACCCAAATTTGGAAAAAAATTTTTTAAGACGAAAAATCTCTGAGGTTGAGGACCATTGCCATAAATTTTTGTCGAAAAACTTTTTATTCCAAAAATGAACAAGTTATATGTCATTCAATGTAGTTTTGTACGCTGATCTTACATATCACATTACTTTTTTTTATAAAAATCTTCCCGGACTGAGAAAAAATGCATTTTATTCCAAAAGTCACAGTTTTTTTGGAAAACTTGTCCCTCTGTGTAGGAAAAGTTGTATATTTTTATGTATTCACAGTAGATGCAGAACATGTTGAGAACATTCTGATATAATTTTGTGTCAGATTGGACCTTTGATAAGTCTCGCGATCTCATTGCACTGAACACGCTTTTTGCATAAACGGTTCGGTTTGGAAAAAAGCCTATTTTAGCCGCTAGGTTCGGTCTTAGAAGAAAATTTCTTTTGTTTTTGGACAGCTGCGATTGAAGACTTTAAGAATATTTTCTTGTCTATAACATTTTGAGAGTTTATGGGCAAGCTTAAAAATAAGAATATAAGAATAATTGCGACTATCACGTTAAGAATTTTAATATAAGTTTTAATAAAAAATTTTAATAAAAATAAAAATTTTAAAATTATATTTAAAATTTTTTTATTAAAACTTATATTAAAATTCTTAACATGATAGCCGCAATTGTTCTTAAATTCTAATTTACTTGTCGTTAATTCAATTTATTTTCATCCAGGAGAAAATCAATTTTTCCTGAAAGACGGTTATTTTCCAGGCTATTTTTGTTTGCTACAATTTTTTCTGAAAAGAGACCATGTGAAACAAAAACTTTTACACCATAAGATTTACCATTAATTAACTAATTAAATTTAGAAAAAGCGTCCTTTCGATTTTCCACTAAATGTCCGCCTGAATGCCGACTGTAACATGGTCACGTTGATTCTTTTAACAACTCAAGATCATTCAGTTATTGATTTTTTGACAAAAAAGTGTACAAACTCTCTTAAATATATTATCAATAGATCATGTTACTCACCAGTTTTTCACCATCTTTATTATTTTTAGCTGCAACACGTGCCGAATAACAACTTTCCAACAAATAGAGTCCTTGTGGCTTCGTTGAATTTACATTTTCATAATAAAATAATAAATTTTGATATAATACAAACCATTTCAATTGCCATTTGCCACCACTTGATGAACTACCATCTTGATGACTACCACCACGACGATATAAATAACCACATTCACGATTTTCTAATCGAGCTTTTATTGCTAAATTTAAAATATGATCATCATTAATTTTAAACGATGTACGCTGCATTATTAATGGCCAATTTTTTAACGGTGACCAATAATCGGATGATGAAAATCTTGAACGTAAAGTTGACAATGATGTTGTAGCTGATGTTGTTGTAGTATTAAGTTGATTCGAATGATATGATGATGATTGCATCGATGATGACATTAAAAACCACATCGAAATTTATCAGAGGTAATAAAACATGATAGGAATAATAATAAGTGTTTTATGATTATTGATGATGATAGTCTAAAAAAGATGATTGATTGATTGCCTATAATCAATTGTTTGTTTTTACCTTTGTCAAAGATAAACGTAGAAGATAGTATTAATGAATGAAAACCCGAAAAAAGACATTAGTATAAATAGAATTTTATATAACGCAATGCCGTCTTTTTGTATCTTTAATAACTGTAACGTCTGCGCATCATTTTGAAATGTCATAGAAAAAATGAAAAAAATGTCAACAGTATAACGGTTATTCGAGAGAAAGAACGAGAACATCAAATTCATTAGTTAAATTGTTCTAATAGATGAAACTGTCGGCTATTTTATAGAAAAGAAAAAAAGATTAAAAAACAAAAAAAAAAGAGAAGAAAATTGTACATTTGTCTCAAGTTAAATTTATGTAAAAACAGGAAGGTGTTGTTAGTTTATTTACTTATGTATGCTCAATGTCATAAAAAGAATATTTATGAAAAAACAAGAACTTAAGCAATTATTTTCTTTTTCCTATCCCCTCTAATAGTTAGAAAAAAAAAAGTAAAAAGAAACAGTCGCTCTTTATTTCGAAAACATATAGATAAAAAGACTGCTTGTGATCGTATTAAAGATCATCATCATTATCATCTTATTACGTGAATTGGCTTTACAATCTATTGATAGCAACAATGTTTTTTGTATTTTTACTTTAGTTAAACATCAACACTATCAACAGACTATTTTGATAAAATGAAAAAGAGAGAAAAAAAAAATTCCAACAAGTCTATCATTAAATAATTTTTTTTTTATAAGATGTGTTTGTTACTTGAAGATAAAGTGTCATTAATAATTACTTTTTTGTTCAAAATATATGCAAAAACATATTTTATAGTTTTGACGCATCGTCAAATCTTTGTTATGATATTTTCCGTCACATTAAGTTTATCTTAGTTTTCGAAGTATTGTTGGAGAAAAAAAAATTAATCACCGTTTTCTACAGCTCATATTTCACACACTAAATAAAAATAAAAATAAAATATAATTATGAATTAAATAATACACAGTTTTCTGTTAGCTTTTTTCTTCTTTTTTTTTTTTTGTTGTTGTTGTTAAACTCCTCTGTGTATTTGACAAACAACATAAAGAATTGAACTAAACAAAAAAGAATATTCATTTTTCAATTGATGATCTTATTCTAACCTAGCATTCATTCATCTAGCATTAATGACAACATTCACCTAACAATGAAATATTAGATGAACGAAGATTAGGTCATAATGTCTCTATATTTGTCAATGTTGAAAATGTATCTATAATTAGCTACTAAAGTGCAAACATTTTTGTTTAGTCGAATTATCTCTATATATAAGTATCAAGTGAGCACAATTATCACTCAAAAAAGAAAAATATACTAAAGTCAAATCACGAGATATAATTTATTTATCAATAATAACAAAAGAATAATAATTGTGTGTGCGTGTGTTAAATAAAAAAATTAACAAAAAAAACCTTTTTGTTGTATTAAACGATTTTTTCGTTTTAATAAATAGAGTGTTTTTTTTATTATTTCATGTTTTATTTTATGTTTTAAATTTTAAAACTATATCTGAGGGGAGTTAAGCATATTAATAATTTTCATTACTATTATTATCTAGGTATTATGATAATTTATTATTATTATTAGTTCTTTTTATCCTTCTTCTGATGTCAACTTTTTTCTTTTTGTCCTTGTTTTATTGAGTTTTCTTTTTTCTACTTAGATAATTGTATTGCTTATAGAAGAACTATCGTTGATATGAAGAAACAAAACAAAAACATGTTCATTCTTAGCAAGAAAAAAATGTAATCGATATTCGTTTTAAAAGAGAAAAAGAGAAAAAAAAAGCATGATAAAAAAAGAGGAAAACGTGCTTAAAATACCATAATTGAATCGTGAAATAAATAAATAATAAGAAAATTTACATCTAAACTAACAAATAAATTTAGTATTAAGTATCTTGATTCAAGCTGTATATTTAAAATAAATGAAGTACATGAACATTCTTTATTTTCTCCAATTGGCTCACTCTTACTTTTTCAGTTTTTTTTTTGTCTCAATTGATGAGTTCATATTTGACATCATCAACATTTTGAGTAATGAAGCCTTTAAAAACAATATGACATGTACGAAGGAGAAGTAAAGGAGAAAACTGTCAAAGTCGATTTTTTTTTAATCGAGAATTCAAGAAGATCATGTTTTGGCGTGAACCAGAGTGCGCTTTGATGTAAAAGTGAAAAAAACAGGAAGAGGGTTGGAATACTTTATCATCTAAAATTTCTTTTGATCAAGAGTATTTTCTTTAAAAGCAGACAGACAAAGAAGCGTCGCATGTTCGTTCATTAAATCTTAGGCTTTGAGGTAGTCATTTAAGTTGAAACATTAATATATCAAGTATTTCTTTTTTTCTTAACCGTGTTCTCGTTTCATTCTAACATCCTGTTTCACATTTCAATATACCGAGTAATTTATCGCATTTTAATCACACCAAATAATTACTATCTTATGATCGTTTTGTTTACTATTTTTCCATTGACATATTTTTCTCTTATATAGTAGAGTTTAAGGAAAAACCTACTGTTATCCATAAGAAAACACATCGAGTTTTGAAAAATTGAAAGTTATCTCTCTCAGAAAACTGCATATGACAGTACTAAAGAAAAATCAGCGGTATTTTAAGCGAGTGTTCTCTATAGTATTACACTAGGCATGCGTCAATAGTAAAACTGACATTAGACCATCTAGGAAAATTGTTATAACGCGGTTATTAAGAATCCTCTCTAGCTGCAGAGCGTCTCATTTTGTAGAGAAATGTTTGCTCGATGTATTTAATGGAAGGAAAAACGTTTAAACTTAATTGTAACACAAATATGAGCATTCTGTAATATCATAACTGTGCATGATAACTAATCACCAGTTATATAACTGTTTGTATCTCTCTAACAAATTCATTAAAAATCTTCTTTCGTTTATCCTTTAAGTTTTTGTTCGGTGCAAACAAATAGATAAACATTCAGAGACAAAGGAACGAGTTCGTCGCTGTGAGAACGAATGTTTTGAGAGAATTGAAATCTTTTTCCGATATTTACGCATCTACTTTTATCTACTTTGACATACCGGCATTAATAATGAGTGGGAGTGATTACGGACGAATAGCGGTTCAACCCTCATTTCTTTGTAGTTCATTAAACACGCGTGTAATGAACAGAAAACAAATAGTCTACGATACGAAAGATACAGCGATTATATAAAAAAGTTAAAGAAATAAATCTTCAAAGTTGTGGGATCGTTCAGTGTACCAGTCTCACGCTTTTTTTATATTCGAAAATCTGTAGGGCTATCGTCCCATTGTCCCTACAGTTCCATCTGCCTCCGCAAACATTCTCTCCAAAATTAGACGTTTTTCTAATCTAGTCTGACAACTACCTATACCTCATTGATTGTTGGACAATGATTTCTGATAGCATATACTCCTTACGTTTTCATAGTAAATTAAGAATGATACTTAACTTTATATAGTCATCATAATTTTATTCTCAATAACCTGGTTGTGCGTATCATTTGAACTGTTTAATCTATATGAGAAAAAAATTTTCTGATTCCCCACTAGATGATTTTAACGTCTTTGTTGGTGTTTAATTTGTGTCTAGCGATAAAAGGTTATTTAAATACGTTTAAAAGTTAATTAGTCAATATTTTAACGAATTTTCAAGGACTACCAATGTAACATACAAAAGAAAATTCATTGTAAATTACTATGATTAACTCCTTAACTGTTAATTTTTTTTCCACTAACTAAAAATCTTTTTACTCAGTAACTTTTACAAATTCACAGTTATTTAAGACTAATAAACCTTTTGTTCATAAATATCTTTTATTCTTATATGGAAAACCAGATATTACTTTTTAATAAGAAAGAGCAAAACATTTCTTTCTGTGAGTGTTTTCAAAATTAAACGTTTTGTTCAAAAGTTTAGTACAGTATGATAGATACGAAAACATGGATCGACAAAAAGTCCAACGTTGCAAACCGAACATTCGTATGTTGTTTCATGTCGTCTTCGATTGCTCTGAATTCCTGTATGACTACAAACAAAACATCGTCGTCTTGAACGTTCCCTATTTGAGTTTGGAAGAATTATAGACGGAAAATGGCATCCAACTAACCGTATTGGTGTAGATTCAATTGATGGTCGACCTCTTCTAACTACTTGATTTGGAAGATGATCATTTAAATTATATTCCAATAAAGAACGAGCAAGTGCTATACGGAACTGAAGTTGTGTCATCATGTTATCGCATTCCACGATCAGACTTTTTCCTAATAGATTAGACTGTCGTTCACTAACTGCCTCAAAACGCACATTTATATCAATATATGTAAACGATTATCTATCTGTGTCTACTGCGATTGACTGAATAGGGCGTAACAGTTATCATGAAATTGGCATACTTATTGAAACAACAACTATCAATCCACAAGTAGGATGAATTATTAGGCGAGAATATATTTTTTTTCTAAATACACAGTTCTTACCAAAATTCATGCGATGTGCCTTCACCGATACTCAGTTTTGTTGGTTACTTTAAGTTCGTACACTTGATTTTGTCTCAGTATTTTTTTGTTTTCGTGTTTCTATTCTTCACAGTAACTATATTCTCTCATTGCTTTTATACACTAACTTATAGTAAGAACGTCTACTAAACAGATGTCGAATAGCTTGCCACTGGAATAAAAATAACTAGGAAGCATAATTTTCTAAGCAAAAGCAGCGGATAGATGAATCTTCAAGAGAATAATTATTAACTAGCTAACTAATAATTGTTCAACACGTAAGGATCTGTTTCAGCGTAACGCTTGTGAATGCGTTAATTACTCACATGAGTGACTGATTCATAAAGGAAATGTTGAACGCGCTACGAAAACATCTGTAACCTGCGGTGATTATATTATTTTGTAGCAAAAGTCAACAATAAACGTTAAAATACAGCTTTATTTCCGATCTTGTTTTCCTTTATTACTTGAGTGTTAAAAAAAAACAGTCTTAAGATACCTTATATTAACTCCATCATAATTCGGTTTGCTGTTTCATATGAGATTCTCAGCTTCTCGGTAGAACCATCGGTTTTTAGTTTTCTCCGAGCTAATTAACAAAGCTGTAAAACAATGTACACAAGCCGTATTTGTGTAGAAACATATGACAAAGTAATGTTCATCGTTCACGAATGGAAAAGAAACGATACATCAAACTCGTAAACAAAACGAAATAAAATAGAAAAAAATACTCCTTTGACGTCATCTCGAAACGTCGACTAGAAATAACTTTTAAAATCTTCTTCTAAGGCAAAATTATTTACATCATAATTTGAGAATTAATTGCTACGAGACAAAATTTCTTCCTTTCAGTAACGTACAGTCGTAGTTTCTCTAGTTTGTCAGAGAGCTAGTACGTGGTTAGTAAGTGTATATAGATAACATATCAATGTGAAGAAAAAAATAAAGTTCATGCAAATCGGTGGAAAAGTGCTTTTTCGTATTCAGCGTACTCGATAACCAAGAAGATTCTATTTTTGGTGAGACGTATTGTTAAAAGTTTCGGAAAAATTTATGAAAAACTACGCCGTCATGGACGTGACAGAAAAAGACAAAAGTTTCCAGTACATGTGGTTCTCTCCTGATAATGTGCTGATTCCTTTATCATTTTTTAAATTTCAACTGTGCATTTTGTAGAAGATAGTTTAGACTACAAAATTGGTAGCCAGGGTTTTTTTGAAACTGCTAAGATTTTGCTGGAGACTTCATTTTTTCTTCGTTGCGGACGTGCTAGAGTGCGAATATAAAAACGAAAAATGCCTTTTAACTGAACCAGAGGTGCAGAGACAATCTAAATGATGCAAATTCATCTTAGAAATCTCGAGATGATGGTAAAACAAAGAATTTTGTTTCGGGACATGAAGAGATCTCTAGAAAACGCAGAGGCACGTTTTTTTTCAGAGGCACTTTTTGGTGTCTGATCTTGCTGAAAATTTCACCATAGACGTGGTTCGTGGTAGAGAGTCTGTCTTGAATCCTTGAATTTTTCTGTCATAAAGTTAGGAGTTTACTCACTAATTAACTGATTAACTTCAATTTCGTGTGAGCTTAGAGAGCCAACACTTTTATTTATATTCATAGTAAAAGAACTTGTTGAAAAAGATAACCCCTGTGAAAAATCAAAGACAAATAAAAGATAGTTATGCCCCGTTTTGCTTAGAATGGCCCATATGGAGAGTTCAAGCAATCGGGCAGAAGAAGTCTTCATCAAATTAGCCTACTGTCCAGAGTTGTGGCTGCCCATGTACTAAAAATCGGCAATTAATCGTGAAAAATCATACGATTAATCGTGCGCTTAATTGCCGATTTTTTGGTGATTTTAGCGATTAATCGCAATTAATTGACGCTTTTTTTCTAGGTACTAGGTTCGAACCCACCTTAGGAAATACATATTTTTTTCTGTTTTTTCATTGTTTATTACGTATAATGACATGTGTGTCACACAGCAACGAAAAAATTACCACTTAATCGCGATTAAATGACCATTTTTTCCCGAATCGCGATTGAGCGTCGATTTTTTCAACCATCGCGATTAATCAACAAAAATTAAGCGATTTTCAGCACATGGGTGATGATTTTCCATTTGTCAATGAATAATTATCAAGGTCAAATTCATGATTACATGGACTGGAAGTTTTAATATGTTTTTTACAATCAAACACAGATCAAACAGTCTAATGTGAGACTAGATATGCTCAAACAAAATGACAACTTGTCTCACACTGACTTAAAATTGATCTTTGTCATTTACACATATTTATGTTTTATCTTTTATAATGCCCACTTACTTCCTTCATCTGTATTTGAGAGAAAGATAATGAACTTGATGAAATGACGGCGTACGGAAGACATTTTTTTAGAAATTACAAATACAAAAACATAAATTAATTTTTTTTCTTCTTATATCGTCACTCACGTTAATAATTCTGTTGAAAACGAACAAAAAAAAAAGAAATGAGAGTCATTTCTTTTTTTTTTTTTTTTTGTTGAGGAATAACTCTCTACTGACAACAAAAAAAAAATATTTAAAATTAATGCATAAGACAAACAGAAAAACTAGAAGGAAAAAACTTTTAGGAATACATTGTGCATGCGTATATCAGATGACGACAGTCAAATAATCTTTTCTAATCTATCTTGTTTTAACAGAGAGACCATAAAGGTTTTCGAAGACAAAAAAAGTTTAATAATTAAACTCTTATCATTGAAGTTCGATGACATGCTATCATTCTTTTTCCCTGATAAAGCGTTTTAAACATTAGAAAAATTTCTCAATAAAACTAATTTGCCTAAAAATTTGATGCACGAAACAAGTCTGCAATATTATTTGTACTTTTGTTAAAAATTCATAAATTAGATAGTTCAATATCTCAGTTGCACGTAAAGGCCTAAAGTTCATATAAATAGTATGAGAAAAATGTTGTTGCATGTTCACAAAAAAAAACAATATTTAAAATACCCATGAGATCAAAAGAAAAAGTGCAAAATTTTTTTGTAGTACTACCACTACCACTACAACCACAACCAATGAAAGTAAGATAATAATAAAATTCTCCAAACTATTTCCTTCCTATTTTTTCTAACGATATCTATATCGATACTCTATAGAAAATAACTTATTACTAAACTAAAATAAAAGTAAATCATTAGAGGATACATTTGTTTTCATTTCTAGACATAGAACATCAAATCCATCACTTATTTTAAACAAAAATATAAATCATATGTTTTCTATTTTTAATTCTGAATAACATAGATGAGAGAAATAAATATATTCTTGTTTTTTAACTAAATATGTGAGCTATGAATTCTAATCATTTCTTTTTATTATTTTGCACTCGTAACTATTAAAAAATTATTTTCAAAAAGCAAGCCATATTCCAATTGTTGCATCTAAGAACTGATCTGATTGTCTTCGTTACAAAATTTCTCAAAAACTCATGTGATCAGTAATTAGTAAACTCGGCGACAAAATCGACCAACATGTCGTTCTATTTTATCTCAGTACATCAAGTTTTCTAGGATATCGCTCTAATTTTGTCCAAAGAGAAGAAGCTGTTGTAACTTGCGACTTTCACAACTTGTCCTGATCTGATAAGGAAAATTATGACGTATGGATTGATTTACAGAACAGAAAAGAGAGATATGTCATCTGCAATTAATATATGGTGATGATCACATGGAAAAATGAAGAAAAAGTGCCAGTGGATGAAATAGAGTTCTATTAAGCCCAACATATCAAACTCTTTAGAGTGTCATTCTATTCTGTCCAGGGGGTTTAGATTAGCTTCCCCATTAAAAGTATGCACAATAGAAAATTTACTTATCTGATAGCACAAATTTGTATTTATATTATATGTTTCATATCGTTGAGCAAATTCATCATAATAATATTGTTGATGTGAATGAAAAATATTCACAAAAGTACAAACAGAAAATCAGAATATAAACAACAACGTCACATTAGTACTTATTAATAAACAAACCATTTTAAAATAAAACATAAAGCAAGAACGTGAAAATAACAAATAATAAACATTATGTATATACAAGAGAGAGAGAGAGAGAGAGAGAGAGAGAAAGAACTTTCAATATGCAAATGAAAGTTCTGCTTGTTTTCATACTGAAAACGCACAATTAAACAATGAAAATCATTTATAGAAACGAGCATTTTTTACCAAAGAAAAGAAAGATCATTTGTACATCTGACATATCCATAAAACGTAAAGTAGTGTGTATATATCCCTCTTTTTAGGTTGTAAAGTCATTTCTAAAGTACAAAAATTTATCCATATATATGTGGAAATAGTATTGAGATAAAATAGTTCGTTTCAAAATTGACAAATATCTGACGAAAAAATAAATATGCTTTGGAAGACATTATTGAAAATAAAATAAAAAAAGACAGATCTGGCAAAATGAGATGTATAAATTATAAATGTAATTCATTTCCACTACGAACATCACGACTTAATTCTTTCATTAATTCTTGAGTTTTACGTCGATTTCGTCGAGCAGCATCAGCACGTAAATAAGGTGTCTTTTTCAAATCTAAATGATAGAAAATAAGCAAAAAAAATAATTTTCTATACAGAAATATTTATTCTAATCTATATTACCGTCTAATAATGATTCGATTGTTCCCTCTTTGACCGCATCACGTTTTATTAATTTTTGATCTTTGAATACTTCTTTTCGTGATTTTAATTCATTCAATAAGTCTTCCTAAATACAAGATTATACAATAAACTATGGATAGTAAACTTTCTTTAATGTTCTAGTCTTTAGTAAGCAAAAACAAAAAGCCCAAAAAAAAAACAGTTTGGTCAATATTAAAAGCAAGCAAAAAGCATTTTTTATCTATCTACCTAACATTCGCATCCGTCATGACAGTCTGTAAAAGATCACTTAAGTCTACACAAATAGCTAGCGAGCAATAGGGATTAAGGGTGACGTACATTCATAAGGGAACCAAGGGCGTCCATGTACGCTCAACTTAAAAAAACTAGTGATAGTTTAGCTTTTTTCTGAGATATTTTTCAAACATATTCTTAGTGTGATAAAAGATCACAATAAAATTAATGTCAAAAAGAAATAAAAAGTTTCGCCAACTTCAAAAAAAGCCAAATGATTGAACAAACTATAAAAAAAAAGTTAGAAACTCATTCATCTCATCTTAACCTAAATACAAGTCGAACCATTTTGAATAAATAGAGAAATATAATTTAAAAATTTTTCAAAAAATTCTTCTTATCAAAGTCATCTGCCACAGATACAAACATAATCTTTCGATTGCTGTACCATTCGTTATTAAATGACTGATAATAAAGTCAAACTGAAAAATACTTTGAAGGAGTCAAATGAGTATCAACACACACAATGAGTATCATTAGAACAAGTATAATCCTTGATTATCATTCTAACATCAGTCAAATGTTGTTCGATTAATAATTAATGATGTTGATGTCAAGAGGCATGTGCGGATACATATGCTAGCTAGTCACTACTCTCGAATATCATACAATTACAACGTATTCTTTCTAGAGGATGAAGACTTTTCGGTGGTTTGATAATATCAATTCAGATATTTACTCAAAACCTTTCACTTCTTAAAACTAAGATTTTTCATGTAATTTAGTTTTTTGCATTAAATTAACTTTTGTGAAGTAGAAAATATCATATTTTATTCCGTATTTTACGCTCTATCGAGTGACATATAATTAAGAGGTATAGAATGTAGAAAAAACGAAAGAATAATCAAAATACGAAAGAGATCTCTTGTTTCGAACAAAGGACGCCTACTTTTCAAATTTATCACACTGTTCTTTTTACACTGTGCAAGGAGCGTGTTGTACACGTTCTAAACATTGGATGCTTCTACTCACTCGAATCAACAGAGAGAAAATGAATGAAAAAGAACAGGAAATTAAAAGTTTAAGGCTATTCTTAGCCTTAAAAGCACCTGGAAACTGGTCACATTCTGCTAAATCCAGCGAAATTCGATCTCTGGAACTCAGAGGATTTCCGGCATCTTCCGGCACGGATTCCGGGCGACATAATCCGGTATAGTTCCCGTTCGATTTTTCAGGAATCGTCGATCTGAGGATCGCTGCGCCTAATTTTAAAAAGTATCTCAAAAAACATGAAAATTTAACGTTGGGTAGGTTTAATCATTCCTGTGAGGAAAATGTTAGATTATTAGGTGTACATCTTTCGAACGATTTAAAAGAACATCATATTCTATTTTATGTGCATGATTCAACAAATTTTAGGTTCGCCAAGAGTAGTGGCGCCCTATTAACTGTATCTTCACATCCACGGCACTTTCATTTTGCCTGTTATCAACTACGAATGTAGTATGTACGATAATAGTCAGAAAACGCAATTAACTCCTCGTCTGACATTAGAAAAGTTTGCAGTCAGAAGTGTTCTTAAGCTTAATCATCCAAACCATTGTACACACCAACTACTCAAAGAAAAAACGAATAAATATCGGTAGCAAACACGAAATAATTTAGCATCTACGTTTCTAACTCAAACTTGAGCTAATAGGAATTCTCTTGCATCTTCTTCTGTTGAATGTTTTTAAAAAGCGCTCCAAAGCACATAAAACTGTAGAGTTGATAGTTCTGTTATAAATTTTCTTTTTGAAGGTTTGATATTTTTTCTCTTTAATTTTTCTATGTTTACTTCTGTAAAAAGATGTTACTATGTTAACGTATAGTTTTTATGTAATGTTCTAATTCCATTGTATACTAAATAAAATTGAATTGAATTGAAGAAAAATTGTTTAATGAAACAACTGAGAAAAGTCTTTATGAGCTGCCCTGATAACCAGTTGATAATAAGGAGTAGTCAGAATCTCTTGACACTGTACTTTTACATAATGTTATCAACTAAGTCAATTATGCGAGTTTAATATAATAAATGTACGAGCAGGTTTCGCGTACGCAATGTTTCTTGTACATAACTAACGACAATTTGGGAACATCTTTTCAAGCAAAAATATCAGTCTGTTAGTATATATATATTGCTTTATGCATTTTCAATACAATATGCATAAAACAAAATAATAAATTAAAACAGCAACTCAACAGATGAAAGCATCAAGTTTTACCTGTAGAGGAAGACCGTTTTTCAACTGGACAAAAGATAAATGATTATAAAAAGAAATGATAGACATTGGATGAACTGCATACCTGTGAACGTTTATTCAATGTTCGTTTTGTATTTACGGGACGTTCAAGAGTTGCTTCACGAGCTAAACGATTACGTTCATCATTATCAATTCGTGCTTGCTATAATAAAATGAAATAGACACAATCATCAAAAAATGCACACAAATATTTGTATTTATTTCATCGTACTTGAAAGGCACGTTGAAACTTGACAAATACAGAGAAGAAGTTTGATGGTGTTTGACTACGCGGTGTTTCACCTAAAATAAATGTGTATAAAACATAATTATCATTTGAATTTTAGATTTTAAAATTACCGAAATATTCGACACATTGTGAAAATGTTTCTTGTGCATTTTTGGCATCTTTTGTTAAACGATCAACTTTGTCTTGCGTTAAAAATAAAAAATCTTCTAGTAGACGAATTTCAACATTCTAAAATAAAATTATAGAGATGTGTATACACCGTTTTACTTACGAGGGGACCTCGCAAACTATCACACTGCTTTTTCAACTTAGTGGGTTATAGGTTATCAACTATGTTGAATCCAAATATCATAGTGGTAGCTGCCTAGGGACCTTCAGAAAGCAGTTTTCTGAAAAACTAGTTTTTCAGAAACTCTAAAAAATGATCAAAATCTTTCTTAATGAGGCATGCTTGTAGCCCGCAAGTTTCTGATTAAAATGAGACATCTCCCAGCTCTACATGACCTTTCTTTGCAAAGTTATAGAATTTACAAGAAAAGCCCTAAATGTTCATTCTCAGCTCAAAGCTACAGAAATAAGAAGAAATTAGGGCTTTTTCTGTAAATTCTATAACTTTGCAAAGAGAGATCATGTAGAGCTGGGAGATGTCTCATTTTAATCAGAAATTTGCGGGCTATAATCATGCCTCATTAAGATTTTGGTCACTTTTTAGAGTTTCTGAAAAACTGATTTTCTAGAAAACCACTCTCTGAAGGCTCCTAGGCAGCTACCACTATGATATTCGGATTCAACATAGTTGATAACCTATAACCCACTAAGTTTGGCTGAAAAAGCGAAGTGACAGTTTGCAAGGTCCCCTCGTTAGACACAATTTGAAATTCACCTTCATTGTTTGACGTATGGCTAGTTCTTTCTTGGTCAAATCTAGGCCACGTGTTAAATCTTGCACATCAATTTGAATATTTTCCAACGAAACTATAGACAAAGATGAGATAATAAAAATTAGTAAAAGAAATCTAAATAAAAAAATAAACAACAACAATTTACCTTGTGCTGCTTTTTCAACTATTTTCAAATCTGAATCAAAATTAGCAACATCTGAAAAACGTTCTTGAATTGTTTGTACAATATAATGTAGAAGTGTTAAACGTTTATCGTGTGTTCGAGTATCAGATAACTATAAAATCAATATTAAAAATTATTTATAATTAAACGTTTAAATTTTAACGTACAATTTCTAAACTGTTTAATTTAAATCCGTACACCGGCCCTCGTTTACTACTGTTCATATAATTGCCGAAGGCCAAAATAATCTACATAAAAAATAGAAATATATTCATAAAATTTTATCTTATTCATTTATTTAAAATTTGAATTTATACTTCAAGTAATTTTTTAAATCTTGTACTATTTTTCAACGCCAATGATGAATTAATTACTGCTTTCAATTGCTAAAAGATATGAAACATTAAATAAATAAATAAATAAAAAATATGATAAAATTATATACCGGTGCTAAATTTTCATTAATATCATTAAAATTTGCCATAAATGAAACAACATTTAATTTTTGTGGTAAACGTTCAATTTTTGATAGCTAAATAAAACGAAAGAATATGAATTTTAAAACAAAATTAATCTAAGACAAATTTTCTTACACCAAATAAAAAGCGATCTTCATCCGATAAATTATTCATAATTTTTCCATCAGACAAATATGAATTAAAAGATTTTGTCTAAATTAGATGTGAATGTTTATGTAATTTTTAATTTTAAACTTTTTTTGATTTTAAATCTTACTTCAGATTCTGTAGGAATAAAATGTTGTAATATATCAATTGTATCGATTGTTAATATTTTAAGATCAAGACTAAAATAATAATTAACATTGATATATTTAAATTTTAAATAGTTAGTTAATCTAGATTTACTTGTTTAATGCACGCATTATCGTATTTACATCAAGATCTAATTTTCGACGAGCAATAGCTAAAAATGAATTAGTTCTTTGTTTTTTTCTTTTTAAAAAAACATTTTCTAGTCATCTATGAAATTTTGTTTTTGTTTTTGTTGTTGTTTTTTTTATAAAAAAAGAAAAATACCTAGATTTCTTTGTCGTTGTGGATCTAATAATGTTAAACTTTCGGGTATTTTGATAAATTTTGGTTTTAAATGTGGACTTATATTTCCACCATTATTCACAGGTAAACCACTGCCAGTTTTAAATAATTCTTCAAATGTTTCAAAATCAATTAGCTAAAATATTAATATTGAATTTTAATTTTAAATTTTTGATTTATATTTAGTATTAACACTCTTTACTTTGAGATATTTTTCATCATCCAATTCACTAAATACTGTTCCACGAACTTGTAACTAAAATAGAGAAAAAAAATATCGTTTTTAATAGATAAACAATCATGAAGATAATCAAGTAGTCCTAGAGTTTACTAACCGGTTTTAATGATGTCCAATTTAAATTTGGTAATTTGTATTTAGTTTCGATTTTTTTCTTTATTGTCATTGTGCCCGGTGGTGCTTCTAACATGCCGGGAGGAGGATGTGGGATACCCATGCCAAATGCGGGTGGTGGAGGACCTGAAAATAAATTAAAAAATGAATAATTAGAGATTTGTTAGAGAATATATTTGATCGACATAATTAACCTGGTGGCGGTGGTGGTGGTATAAAATTTGGCGCTAAAACAGTTTAAAATAGTTGCAGTAATAGATGAAAAAACAGCGTTTGATTATCACTCGTTTAACCCTTTCACTACCGGTGGGATATATATTTCCCACGTCAAAAATCGGAATAAGCCGTGTTTTCGAAAACTTTCTTTTGAAGAAACGACCCTCAAAATTCGATCATAATCAAATTTCAAATACATCATCTTATGCAGTTT